GCCCCCGGGACCCAATGCCCTGTACTGTCAGTTGGCCTGTTGCAGGTAACGGAGCGTTCCCTTTTTTGAACCGGTGGTCCTGACCTCTGGGTCGACGTCCACCTAGTGCCCCTTGTCCCCCTAACCACTGCCTCCCCCTGGGATGACTACCGAAAACAAAACCTGATGAGGGAGAACCCGTTAGGGATCCATTGTTAGCCGCTTGTTGTGAGAACCCACTGTTCCATCCTGCCCCAACCTGCAAACCCCCCGGGCCTTGGACCTCGACTGGACTGAAAATTGGAACCCACATCCCTCCCCTTGCAGTCCCTGACTCTCTGTACGCTGCTCAGTGGTGTTGATTGGGATCACAGATGGGCATGTTTCAGATTTGTGCCCATATGCACGGCAGAGAGAGCACCAATTTGTGAGTCCTACCTCCAAGTTAACCAGCTTGCCATCCAATAGAGTCCACTTTAGGAAATTTGGGACCAAATTCCTTCTGTGCGTAGGAATGCCAAACTTCAAGTTGTTGAGTTCTGGATATTCCTCATATCGCTTCGGAGGGTATTGTTTGCATACTCTCCCTACTGCATGTTCCAGATGGGAACGGACAAAGGTAACTGACATCCAAGGGACCCTCAAAACCATTACCCATATCTTAGTAATCTCATCCTTTTTTTTTTTTTTTTTTTTTTTTTTTTAACACCCATGGTGATGCTAGAGGTGTAATCTCATCCTGCATGTTTGATAGCTCCAATCCCCTTTGCGTCATGCAACGCTTGAAAGTGAGTTTGTATGTAGTACCATCAATTTCAATCTTGTGGCTCTTTATGTTCAGCATTAAATCTACAATTTTTTTATCCCTAGGGAAGTAGGACATGATGTTTCTCCCCTCCTGATGGACTCTCCCCCTTTCCTTGTGATGCAAGTTTTGTGGGAGGATGAAATTTTCAAAGCCTCTGATGCGTTGTTCCTTTTTTTCTGCGGATACTGAACGGAAGTTCCCTGAAAAACAACTGCAGCTATCACATTCTGTGTGACGCACGTGCGGAGGGCACGTGCGGAGATGGTGATGAGGGAGAGAGAGAGAGAGAAAGGAGATGGACACACACAAGAAGCAGCAACTGAGATAAGGTCCAGTCTGGCTCGATGAACGAAAAAACAACTTAATGAATGAACCTCCCGCCCTGGGCCTAGGCCGAAGTGATATACCGGCCTAGGTCCAGGTGCGGAATAACCTGGTACCAGACCAGGGTCAGGCCAATGGCCTGAAACTGGTCCGGCCTCACTGCCGGGCCGTAGGGGTACCGCTACACGATTCTCAGACCTGTGAATGGATCAAGCGATACATCAAACACGCTATCCGCTGAAATAGCGGAAACCCAAAAGGAACGAGAAAAGAAACAATTCTAGATGCGGAGCAAGCTCCATGCAGGAAAAGGGATGCAATGCAGACTAAGCCTCAAGCCTTATCTATACCATAATGTTTGGTCTGTGTCGACCCAAAAAGTAGAAAAATGTCTGACCTGTGTCGGCCAAGAAAGAGAAAAATGTCTGACCTATGTCGGCCAAGAAAGAGAAAAATGTCTGACCTGTGTCGGCCAAGAAAGAGAAAAATGTCTGACCTGTGTCGGCCAAGAAAAAGAGAAATGTCTCTTGAGCCAAAGAGGCTGAATATAAATCAACATCAGGGCCCTAAAGGCCAAGGAATAACTAAACCACTGTCCTAAGTCGAAAACGAATGTGGCACAGTCTCACGTGCCCTGTACACAATGCACAATACCTGAACAAAAGAGAAAGGGACTCAGTCGCATGGCAGAAGTAGGAATGGGTGGGAAGGCGGCAGGTACAACTTTCAGAGTAAACTCCAAAGGGGCACCCACACAACCAGGTAAGGGTCATAAAGCTCAGAGGAAGAGTAACAGCACGACACCGGGCTCAATGGAAACCATCAAACGGTTACCGGCAGCGGAAAGGGGGGAGGGGTACTCACACAAGGGAGCACACAGAAGGTGAGCCTGGAAGGAGAGAGGGCTATGCCGGCATAGACATGTAGCCAGAAGCCGCGAGCAAGGAAAACGTACACTCCAGAGGAGGGCGCGCAACATAAGGTAAGGTAGAAGGGCGGCAAGCGAACACACCCACATAGACAGGGAAAATAGGGGTCATCATGCGACTGAAGGGTAAGCTCGAGGGTGGGGGATAGGTGGGAATGATGGGAACTCTGTAGCCAAAAAGGTGAAGTACTCCAACTGATGAGTCTCCAGACTGAAGTCGAACCGAAGTAGCTTGGATGAAGTAGGGGTACTGCAAGAACCCAGTAGAAGTCCGGAACACTGCGACAAGTACTCTGGTACTGAGGAGAAGCACTGAGGTCGAAGGTCGAATGTAGAAGCCGAAGTAGAAGCTGAATGTAGAAGCCGAATGTAGAAGCTAAATGTAGAGGCTGAAACCGGAAGCTGCTGTAGAAGTGTCCAGGAATGGTAAAAGATAGAGAGCGTATGGGGGATATAGATCAGTCACGAAAACGAGAAGGAAGTCGATGGGTACGCTGAGGGCGAGAGGAATGAACTGCAACAAGAGGCGGAACCACATCCACAGGGGAAGGAGGACCTGAGGCGGGTACCTATGGAGCAAGAGGACCGATCGATGGAGGAGGGGGAATGTTAGTGGTCGCAGAGGTAGAAGGGTCAGTAGTAGAAGGACGAGAAGTAGGGGAGGAGGAGGATGACGGGAAAGGATGAGCACGATCGTAAGCTCGCACGAAAGTCATAGCATGCTTTAGGTGCTCAAGAGGCTCCCAAGTAGACTCCTCGTGAGGATAACCTTTCCATCGAACGAGATACTCGAGGCGGGGAGGGTCACCAGGAGTCATACGCCGAGACGCAATATCACAGACGACAAACTCCTTGTGACCCTCAATGATGATGGGAGAGGGGCGAGGGTAAGGTCGACCATGGAACTTGGGGGGAGACCGTTTGAAAGGGCGCAGAAGAGATACATGGAACACATCATGTAAGTTAGCGTGGTACATGGAATCGGGGAGCTTCAATTTGAAGCTCACCGGACAGTCATGATTGGGTCCGGCAGGTGCAAGAATGGTGCATGGTCCAATATATCGACGTCTGAATTTTCGAAGTGTGTCAGCTTCGGGCTGGAAGTGACGTGCGTCGACAAGAACCTCGTCGCCAACTTTGAAGGGATGGTCGATGCGGGACCGGTTAGCGCGAGTGGCCATGCGAGTCTGGGAGTTAGCAATGCTCTCGCGAGCCTTGCTAAGGAGCGCATCCATCTCCTTTACCCAGTCATCGAGGGCAGGGCATTTCGTGTCGGGATGGATCTGAGATGGACGAAGAAGGTCAGATGGGACACGGGGATGGTCTCCCAAGTCACAGTAGTAGGGAGACATGCCAGTGGTAGGAGAAATAACATGGTTATAAGCAATCTCTGCGTGAGCAAGATGCAGATCCCAATCAGAGTCATTCTCAACAAACTTCTTGAGGATACTCCCAAGAGTTTTGTTGGTGACCTCGGTCTATCCATCTGACTGGGGTGCTAGGAGCCATAGATCTCATGGAGTCCACGCCAGAAATGAGAAGTAAAGCGGAGGTCGCGATCAGAGACGATGCTGGTGGGCTATGTTGCACGCCCGGCCGCGGCCGGGGGGTCCGAGTCGGCCACGGCCTAGGCCGATGACCGAATCGGCCCGGTTTGGCCTAGGCCGACGTGCCGAGTTCGGTGCAGTATTTTTTTTTTTCCATTTTTTACGTGTAAATATATATATCGTCAAATATAACTGCCCGGTAAACATATATATATATATATATGGGCGTGTAGGGCTGGAAAAGCCCTACACACCCATATTTTGTTTTTGGGTGTCCGACCTTCGGCGCGACGCAGAAAAAAAAAAAAAAAAAAAAAAAAAAAAAGGCCCGGTGGGCCATTTTGGCCTGTTTTGGTGCCAGCGAGTGAGGGGCACCGTGTGGGCAGTGGGCACTGCGGGGAGGGCGGTGGGTCCAGGCCCAGGCCACGACAAAACTGTTGCCGTTTCAGATAAATGCTGCCATTTATCTGAAACGGCAACAGTTGTTGCAGTTGCCG